AAGTGTAGAGTAAGTTTACTTACTACTACTCGTACTACTTAGTTGTTGTAAGAGTAATTAGTACGTACTAGTATGTCACTCACACTGTCGTACCTCCCTCCTCCTCTCTCTCTCTCTCTCTCTCTCTCTCTCTCTCTCTCTCTCTCCTTCCCCCAACCTCTCTCGCTTTCTCTCTCTCTCTCGTCCCCCCCCCCCCAAACACATGCGTACACAGGCACACACTCAAGGATATCGTATATGCATGGATATCCTTGTGGTGCATTCATACAAAATCTCTTTAGGTAAATTGGTACTGATATATGCCATTTTATATCTTATGCATTCTCTTCAATCTTGCTAGTTTTCAATGTTGTATCACTCCTACTTCTACTTTTAAATTCCTCATTTATCAGATCACAATCCTTGTTGCTGCTGAAGGAGTCCACAAACTTCCTTTAATTAACAGCAGCTCAGACCTGAAAGAGGCCTTGCAGAAGCTGGCCTCAATTCCCTCTAGTAAAACTCTGGTAAAATCATCGTTCCTCAATAATACATGTGAAGAAGCATTTGGATTATTCATTTATTCTTCAAATATTGATATGGTATTTTTTTGGGTAAATATATTCAAATATGGATTTTTGAGCAGGCAGTTGAGGTATTGTGGACTCCCCAGAATGAGGACGATACACTTACCGAACGAGAACTGCTGGAAGATTATCCACTTCTGAGGCCTCTTTGAGTATAATATATAGAGAAGAAAATAGTGCACTAAATGAGAAAGAAATTCTGAAACTGAACATTGTTTTAGATGTTATTGTACAGTAATCTGTAAATGTATAAAATGGTGGGGTTTACATTATCTTGAATTAAATACCAATAATTCAAGATTGAAATTAAAGTCATTTTATCAGTGTTAGGGGAACCTCATTCAAATAAGTTAAGGTCATATTCGAAGTAATACTAGAGCTATGATATTGGAGACCCAGATAACCGCTTCTCCTCCTGCAACTCATTCTTTTACCATTTGAATAAGAAGACCAAGGTATGTAGAGAGTTTATACAATTTGAATATGACCTTAATAACTTATACATTCTTTTACCATTTTGTATAAGGTTACAACATGCAAACTTGGAATATGTATTTCTGTCGCATTTTGTATAAAATTTGAGTAAGATATTGAGTGCATATTTAGAGAGAGAAAAAGTAGCTAGAGGGTTGTAGAGAGTCTAGATAGTCCTCAAAGGTCTATATATATGTATTTTGTTTTTTGTGAAGAAAGGAGTGAAATTTGACCTTGTAGCTTCCATATTATCGGCCAAAATTGGAATTTAAATGAACTTCGAACAAAAGCCTTCTTCCTCCCTCCTTCAAACAAGTGGTATTAAGCAACTCCTTGAGGTTGCTTCGGATCAAAATCAAAAGAGTTTACTAAATGAGTCAATGAAAGCTCTCTTTCTTATCTACCAAGGAAGGAATAGATGAAGTTGCTTCGGCTACAAAATTTAAAGCAAGTGTAGGAGATTCTTCATAATTCATCCAAGGGAGGTGATAAAGAGAATAAGTACGCCTTTTAACTCTTAGGGTTGAGTTTGAGGCTTTGCACATGAATGAATATTCTAATAATTCATAATACTTATTAAGAGTGTTAGTTGTGGCGAACCAGTTGAAAAGAAATGGAGACAAATTAGATAATGTTCGAGTAATAGAAAAAATGCTAGGATCACATGATCGAAAGTATGAGCATATCTTAGTAACCATTGAAGAATAAAAGGATTTCGAGACTATATAGGTTGCCGTCTTTACAATCCCATAAGCAAAGAATATACAAAAGGAAAAGTATACAAAAAGGCTCCAAGTTCATTGAAGCATGCACTTAATACCAAACTTACCGTAAAAGAAGACTCTCATGGAGGAAGAGGCCAAAGAGGTTGTGGTAATGGAATAAGAGGCTGAAAGACGTCAGGACGTACAAGCGCAAAGAGGATGAGGAAGATGTTATTTTCCATGGCCATATTATCACAAGGTATGAAAAGTCCAATGTCCAATGTAATTACAAAAAGTTTGGCCAGTGTAGTTCTAGTTGTAAATTCAGATCTTCAAGTGATGTGCATGAAAGGGCTAGTTTTGTTGAAAATGAAAATAAAGAATCAAACAAACATTTGGCCTTGATATGGGTCTAACCAACCACGTGTGGTTGAAAATAGTTATTTGTAGGCTTGAATGAAATAACTAAAGGCAAGTGATATTTGGAGACTTGTCTAAGAGACTGGTAAAAGACAAATGTAAAATCCTAACTAAATTGAAACATGGTGTTCATTGGTTTATTTCCAATGTGTATTATTTGCTGGATATGAAAAATATTATTTTGAGTTTGGGCAAATTCTTAAAGAAAGGCGATAACATTATCATGAAACATGGTAGCATTTTTTATAGACCAAATGAATGATTTGATTGTCAAAGCTGTCATGCCTAAGAATAGAATATTTCCATGAATATTCAAATTTTAAATGCCTTAAGTCTATTTTAAGTGATGAATCAAGGTTATGGTACTTGCGGCTTGGGCATATTAATTTTGGTGGCTTTGAGGTTATGGTCGAAGGCAAATATGATGAATGAGTTAGCATGGATAAAGCAACCTAGTAGTGTACGTGAAGGGTGTATTATAGGAAAGCAACATGGGGAAGTTTCGTGAGCGACAAATCAAGAAAAGCCACAGAGCTTATCCAACATGTATACATGGATTTATGCGAACCACTTAAAACTTTGTCACTTGAAAAAAGTCAGTATTTTTTAACTTGTATTGATGATTATAGTAGCAAACATGTGTTTATTTTCTTGAAGAAAACGCAGTAGTTTTTCTAGTATTTAAAGAATTCATATATTTAGTTGAAAAAGAAAATGAGTTTCAAATTAAAGTAATGAGGTCTAATAGAGGTGGAGGGTACAACTCAAATGTTTTATCTAAGTTTTTGTAAAGAACATGAGATCTGCTAAAAAATGACCACTTCCTTGCTAAAAAATGACCACTTCCTATCCATTATGGGTGAAATGCATGTTAAAAGAAAGACAAGTACCAAAAGAATTTTTGGGCCGAAGCAGTTGCATGTATAGTGTGTTTGTTGAATAGATGTCAAACCAAAAGTTTGTGGTCTGTGACACCCAAAGAGGCTTGAAGCACCTACAAACCAAATATAGAACATCTAAGAATTTTTGGGTGATGCCAAAGTTCATGATGAAAATATACAAGAACTTGATGACAAAGGAGGAAAATGTATCTTCTTATGCTGTGAAGAAAATAACAAGAGTTTTAATATTTTACAACTCTATCACAGAAGGTGCTTTTGTAAAGAGATGTTGTGTTTAATGAAGGTGGAAGTAGGGATTGAAAGATTCGTAAAGAAAAGTAAAGCATAGCTTTATTGAAGGGGTGGAAGAAAAGGAAGATGGTGAACATCAAGAAGGTCCTTTTGACTCCCATTAAAAAATCATTATATGGGGATCTATCTATTTCTCTAACAAGTAGATTGTCTCGTAGAACACAAAAAAACAAAGCTTTCAAGAAATATATTTGGTCACCCATTGCTTTGATGTTGAAAGTGATGAGCTCACATTACTTTGTTCTTAAGCAAATTTTGATTACAGTTTTTTGTGAAAAAAAAAAAAAAGGGATAAAATGGAAAACGGGCCATGGGGAAATTCAAGAAATTGACAAGAATAACAAATGGGAGCTTACGACATTACTAAAAGGCTACAGAGTTATTGGAGACAAAGCTAAAAGACAGGAATGCAAATGGATTGGTCGAAAAGTATAAAGCAAGGTTGATTGCTAAAGACTACAAGTAAAGGCCTAAAATTGGTTATGGTGTGGTATATGCCTCCATTCACGCTTAAAAATACTAGGTTGATGAATTCTTTAGCGCCACAAAATTAATAGGAAGTTTTCGAATGGATGTAAAATCGGTATTTTTGAATGGCGCCTTTGAGAGAGAAGTTTATATTCAACAACCTATTAGCTATGTGAAAAGGGGGTATGAAATTAAAGTTTTTAAAATGAAAAAGGCTTTATAGGGCTAAAACAAGCACCCAAGGAATAGAATATTATAATTGATGAGTATTTCCTTGAAAATGGTACTGTTGGGTGCCCATATGAACATGGTAACCCAAATGGAGATATTTTACGTATTTTCTTGTATGCTGACGATTTTTATAAGAAATAGTATGAGCATGTTTCAAGAAGGAATCTATGATTTAGAAGTATGTAATGGCCGACATCAGGGTCATGTGTTTTCTTCTTGGTATTGAAGTGACACAAATGGATAATGGGATTTTCGTATCTTAAAAAACCTATGCAAAATGAATTTTAAAGAAATTTGAACTAGAGGTACAACCCGGTCAATGCACTGGTAGAATGTGGAGTAAAGTTGAGGAAAGAAGGTGATGGTGAGAGAACTGATCTCATTCTTTTAGAAGTATTGTGGGAAGCCTTTGCATTTAACATGTACAAGGATGGATATTTTATATGGAGTTGGGTTAATTAGACAGCCTATTGAAGCTTCAAAACTGTTGTGCACCAAATCCAACAATCTTCACTTTGATATTAAAAGCATCTACTCACCATGCCAATATCCATTGAATAGCTTCATGGATTCGTCATCTTTTGTCAAATAAATTTTTTCATCATTCTTGCGAAAAAATAGTGTTTGCCATCAAATTTCTCTACCTCGAACTTTACATTCGAAACCTTTACTGCCATACCGACAACCCAAAACCAGGGCTCTAAAATCATTTGTAGTACTCTGATACCACTTGTTGTGGGCGAAAGCTCTAAAGTCGATGTTTTAATATTTGACAAATAAAGTATGAAAAATAAAACTTGAAATACATACAACAAGAATGCAAAGATTTATATTGTTCACCCCAAAAGGGCTACATCTACGAGCACAGCAAATTGAAATCCATTATACCAATGAAAGTTACATAAAAGATTTTAGAACAAACCTCGAAAAAAACCCAAGTCGAGCAAACACTTGTAAACCACTTTCCCTTCGTTTTCTTTATTTCTGGCAACCATTATCAACAACACCTGATAGAGACGCGAGAGCAATGAGAAACTTGCTTTCTTTCTAACTAAAATCTCTATGGGAACCGCTTCTATATATAGACGCCAGGGCAACCCAAAATCTTTATGGGAACCGCTTCTCTACAAGAAACGAACAAGCCTCTCAATCTTCGGGAGTCTAAAAGAGGTACCATCATAATGTTTCTCTCCACAAGAAGCTTTCTTCTCTAAGAGGAACCTCTTATGCACAGGAAGCTCTAGCTCACTCTCTCTAGAGGAACCACCATGCCCATATGGTGACCCAAATAGGCACACATTTTCTCTCTAAAAATATCCCATTATATAGAAAAAAAAGACTTACTAAAAAGGCTCACGTGATGGCCTTTCTGTTCTTTCTTTTATGGGAAAGTAATCTTTATCTCTTTAAATATGAGACATCAAGTTCATCCTAATCCAAATAGAACTTATCTCAATAACCAACTCCTAAAGAATATCCAATTGGTAAAGAATATCCAATTGGTTAATAGCCAATTGGTTAATAGCAAATCCATATAATAACGAAATATCTCAATCTCACATATTATGGGAATATATCAATCAATCATATAAAATATGCGATTTTCTTACGTGGGTGATTTTGGATAGCACGAAATCCAACAATCTCCACCTGGATATTAAAATCACATGGTCACCATAACAACGTCCATTGAATAGCTTCATGGATTCTTCATCTTTTGCCAAACTCGCTGAAAAATAGTGTTTGCCATCAAATTTCTCCACTTTGAACTTCGCAGTCTAAACCTTTCTTGCCATATCGACAACCCAAAACCAGGGCTCTGAACCACTTGTAGTGCTCTCATACTACTTTTCTTTTTTTTGTAATTGTTGATTAGAATGAAAAGAGTGTATATTTCAAAATTTGGATCGAACAAATGGCCATAAGATGGGTTTTTATGGTTGTTGCATCATATTACTATACAACAGTTGCATGAAATCACTGCCATATATATATATATATATATATATATATATATATATA